AACCTATACAGCAAGAGGATCCTAAGAGAACTAAAAAGATTATTAGTGGATAAATTGCATATAAAGTGTGAAAGAAGTCTTCCAGAAACTAAGCAAAGTATTAAGAGTATATGTCCTCATATTTGTTGTTTTTATCACACTGTTTCGGCCGTTGAGCCCTCTGGCCTTCCTCAGGTGTATATCAATCTGGATAACCTAAAGGGAATTCCGAACTGAAACCTTCATTTAATCTCTCATCCTAGGGATACCATCTAGTTCTTAACAAATTCACAAACCAACACCTTTATATTGATCTGGGTAACCTACCCAGAAATTCCAAACTGAACGCTTTATACAGGGGTAGTTATTTTTCAGTTATTGTATACAAGTACACAATGCCTGATTGACCCAGGGATTGAACTACCACTAAACCAATGTTTTACTCTCTAGGCCATTGTCTTAGGACAATTGCTGGAGTAAACTTAGAGCTTTAAGCCTAAACTTCAATACCAATTATGCTGGTACTGTCATTGCTGCTGCAATTGAAGACTTATTGTCATTTGTCTTTATTAGTGCTTCCCGTATTGTATTTATTTCTATGCAAGGCTTACTAAGGAGGTCCTCATAGCCTAGCATATGTGCTGATTCATTCAGACTTCTAACTCTCCAGTTTTCTTCTCTGTCCAGTATTTTCACTTCATTCCACAGCAGCTGGTGACTAACCCTTTTCTACCATACATGATCAGCCATATCCAATTTCATTGCCTCCCCTATCACTATGGCTTTTCAATGTTCATTCAGTCTTACTTTTAGAAGTAGGTGGACTTCTTTTATGTTTATATTCTCTGCTAGAACTGCAAAAAATCATGTACATACAAATCTTGGTCATATTCTCCCCAGTGTTAAGCTTTACTCAGTAGAGTGGAATTGCTTTTAAATAGTCAATAAGGCAATAGTCAGAATATAAATAGTGTAAATAATGATGACTCCACATCCCAGAAATTCAGACAAAAAAAAGGAAAAAAAAGAAAGTATTAAAAGATAGAAAAATGCCATTAGAAAAAGTGCTGAAATACTATGTAACATCTAAATCTCCTATAGTGATTTTCCAAGAGTAGCTCAGATGTGGCACAAGACCAAAAGTATGAGGCACCCAGTAAGGATCAAACTTACTACTCGGTCATAATTGTTCTAGCGAGACAAGTTTGCTCACCATTATGCCACCTTGAGGTGCCCCATCTAAATATACTATATGTAAAGTGAATGCTGGACAATGTCCTCACAGATGAAGAAACTAAGTGACTGATATAGTTTAAAGGAAACTGGAAACTGCTAAGAAACTTATACTTACAATCAGAATGAGTTAAAAATTCTGGGACACAATGAGGAAAGAGAATGTGGAGTAATTATTAATCAAAGGATATGCAGAGAGCAAGAGAAGTGGAGAGAAACAAGTTACCGTAACAATTTTGTGTGAATGGATGATAGAACATCGCCAAAGATGGAGGGAAAAGAGTTAAAACATACTTAGAACAATAAAAAGATGAGCTTGTGGAGAGCTATAATCACCCACATACTGGAGGGGTCAAAACGCAAAAGAGAAATAGCCACTAAATTTAATTCTAATTATTCCAATTCTTTTTCACTAGCAATAAATCTTTGGATATTAAGATTAAAAAAGATCTCTTGAGAGAAACCTGGACACTATTTTAGAAAAAAAATTAAGTAGACTGAAAAAAGTTAAAAAAATAAATTAACCAATTTCTCACACTAAAATCTGATGATCTAAATCAAAACTTGAGTTTGTAGAAACTGTCAGAAAATGAAAATTCAGCAGCAAAGTAATATAGAGGTTAATTCTATAAAAATATATAAAACAAAGTTGTTACTTTCAGCCTAACATCAATTATGTTTGTTTCTCACTCATGAGATTTAACAAGATCATTTCTTGCCTTAGATGACAAGTCTAAGAATAAATGCTTCATACTTTTAGTACAGCTTACTGGTTTAGTGTTAATAAAACAATTGAAAGACAAAATAGCAATATGTTCAAGATGCTTTATTGTCTTTAACTTGGATCATTCTTTTAATATGTAATGCACTTATGTCAAACAACAAAGAAGCATTCAAGTGCACAGCAGATGTACATTGTTTGCAATTATGGCTTTTTTTTATGTCATGTTTTTTCAAAAACTTTTGAATTGTTTATAATCAAAACTGAAGTGGTTTCCTTCAGTCTTAAATCAATCAGCTAATTACTCTTGTTATTTAATATTCTATAAGTTTTTGTTATCTAATCAAGTTATTTTTTTTGTTTTTTTTCAATAAAAATTAAAGTTAAATTACAATGATAAATCTATTGGCAACATCCTTTCTTAAATCAAAATTTGATTAAAGACTAGACAAGGAATTTTCTTTTTCTCTTTAAAAAACTCTCATACAAGAGAATGCAAGCCTGAATTTAATGAGCATAAACATTGAAACATTTTTTGGCAGTCGATTCTTTTCATGAAACTAAGTTAAAAATTCACCAGCTCAAGATCAGGGATTTTAAATGTATTTAACAAATTATTGATAGATTCTCTCCAAGGAAAAATTTACATTTGTAGCTCACCTGTTGGATTGCATTAACACTATAATGCAGAGTTAAAAAAAAAAAAAAAAAAACCTTGTCTACAGCTAATCAAATTTATAGAAGTATATAAAGAATAAAAGTGAAAACAAAATCAGTGATTTTCTTCAATAAGTAATTATACTATACATACAAGTTTGAATATTGGTGTATCGTCGCCTCCCTCTGTCTGTTCTACAAATACTTTCATGGAAATTGCTCCGAGGAGCTGCATTTGCTGGTTCCCAGACGTCATGAGTTCAAGCGCCATACGAGGCTGGCATCCCGCTCTCACCCCTTCACTGTCGAGACTCCTAAATGTAGCAGTCTCTTCTACTCGAATAGCTTCATGTCTCGCACCTCTCGCCTGTGGAACTCCCTTCCCTATTACTGTTTCCCTGTGAGCTATAATCTCCAGCTATTCAAATGTAATGTCAATCGACATCTCCAGTTGCCTTGATCTATCCACTACCCTCATCCTTTCTTCTATCACTCCCTATCTGATCTTGCTCTAAATTTTCTGTAACCCCTTGCATCCTAGTGGCTTCCTGCCTTGCTTGGGTGGAATGCTTAAAAAAAAAAAAAAAAAAAAAAATAAATAAATAAAATAAAAAAATAAATAAATATATATATATATATATATATATATATATATATATAAACATCTACTGAAATAAACTTATTTGAATATTTTTTTTCTTATTAGATCATGTATAAAACTACTGATTAAGAAATTTTGATTCAGGCCAAACAAGCGACAGCTTCCATTTGATGACATCCACATTCAACAAGAGACTAACAGCAAATGATATCATCCATTTTGTATTTAAAGTACACACAAGCAAAAAAAAAAGTGAAATCAGTAAGCAGAGTTCAAATCCTCACTCAGTCTGTTGTGTTCACTTTCACACTAATGCCCTTCCCCTTCAAGGCATGAATTAAATAACAGTAGATTGAACTCTAACCAAGAACTCCTCTGAATTCCAATATCAACTGGTGAATGACTATATTTCCAAAGTAATCATGCTAATTTACAGATATTAAAGAAACTGTGGAGAGCCATGATCACTTACCTCCTGAAGAGATAATGCATAAAAGCATTTAAGATAGTTATGCAACTAAGTCAATTTTGAATAGACTAAATCCAAAGAGGACACTTTAATGTGCCATTCAAGAAGTACACTAATCTCCTTTGAGGATACAACTTTTGGCATATATACACCACAACTCTGGGGGTAAAGAAACTAAAACAAATTGTTAAGGCTTTTTGCCAAAACTTGTCTGCTACTTTTTATGAAGCCAAATCTCTTGGGTTGGTTTCTCACACTGAACCATCTCGAACATGTGCTCCAAATAGGAAACACCCAGAATGTTAAGGTCAGAAGGAAACCGTTCAATGGTTATACTTTTACAGTCACCTAGTTCTTACAAGAATTGAAGACGGAAAGAAAATGAGGAGGCTTCATGAGTGATGATTAATTTAAGAATTAAAAATATAAACAAGCAGAAAAACAAACTAAGTGAGATTAAGGGAGAAACTGTGCTAGCATTTAACCAAGCAATACATCCCCATAACTTTGCAATATTTGGGTTTATTTAAACTATATTTGCTTTTTGACATAGCAAATTTAAGTTGAAAAACCTCACATGTTAACCTATTTTCAAAGTCTTTGCATCCATAATGATATTCCAAAATCCATTCAAATATAGCACCTTAACTCACACTCAAGTGTAGAATGCTGAACTTACTTAAAAGATGGCAGTGAGAATGGACAGCAAATTCAAATGCATTTATTGAAATAATTAAGAAAACTAAAAACTATTACAGAAGAAAAACTGACCAGTTTTTATAGATGACATATCATAATGATAAAGTGTTTGGTTGTCACATTTTTAACCTACTTACCCAGGATCACCACTTAAAAATTTGGTCTCCACCCCACAAAAAAAAATGATCATTAAATTTTGTAAAGAGAAAAATAAAATCAGCTAACCAAAAGATTTCTATCGGGGGGGGTATATTTTTTTTTTTACATACATGTTTGTAACAGGGCATGTACCAGATACTTGTGCTTGTTCAAAAAAAAAAAAAAAAAAAAAAAAATCATGCCTGCATACACAAATATGGAAAGAGTTCTGTTCAGTAGTAAAAGTCTTTCCTCAATGACATTCCAGAAAAAGATGGTGGCTATCATTAGACCTATACAGAATCCAATTCATATCCATTTCAAAAGATTACTGCATTAATCTAATTTAAAAAAAAATAAAATAAAAAAAGATCTAAATCATTGTTGAACTACCTACTCAACCAACAAATAACACAACAGACTTTCAAATCTACCATTACAAAACCCACCACACTACCATTGGGAAATAAAGGTATAAGTCAGTCAGGGGATATGGTACTCACCTGTCCAGCAGTATCTATGACCTGAAGTTGGTAAACCTGTCCAGCAACATTCACACTCTTTGTGTATGCTGTAATGATAAATTTGATAAAATTGATTTAAAGACAAAGCAAATAATAAAAAAAAAAAAAAAAAAAAAAATGAATTAATTTTCATTACAGTGAAACTTTACAATTTTTTCCTTTATATACAAAAATTCTTTGTTGACAATTTCTTCTGCTAGTGAACAGAAATCAACCAGATGGTATTTAATAAAACCAGTAAAATGTTACATAAACAGATGAAATAACAATAATCCAATATGATCATGAATTCATTTTTTTCATTTTTTTTATAAAGGCATTTTCAAGAATTATACTAACAAAACTCGATTCAAGATTTAGGATGGTACCTTAAACTTTAAATCTGCTTATTAACTTGTTACAAACCAATCCACAAATAAACTAAGTCTGATAAAAACCTTTTGAAAAACAGCTATAAAGAGAAAAGAAATTTTGAATATGTATCAAAGTTCCAGTCTCTATTTTCTAAATTATAAATCTTGTAAGAAACAAAAAAATCAACATCAAAGGAAATTCATCTTCCCTGTTGTATTAGACAGAATTGTACAATTTACTTTAAACTTTCTGAGAAAGAAAAAAACATTTTGTTATAATTCAATAATTCTTTTAAACTGAAATGTGCTTTATTTATAGTGTTTGGACTGTTGTCTTCACCTTTATTGCCATATTCACAATGTTTCAGTTGTTGTACGCTCCAGCCTTCTTCAGGTGAACATCCAGAAGAAGCAGGACATGTGGAACTAGAACAATTTACCCCAGTGGATGAAATAAAGGTTTCAGTTTGAAATTCCAATCATCTGAAGAAGGCCAGTGTACAAATGTTGTGAATATGGCAATAAAGAGGAGGACAACAGCCCAAACAATGTAAAAAATTAAAGTACCTCATCTCATAAATATAGACAGATATTGAAATCTGTTTTCATAAAAAAAAAAAAAAAAAAAATACACTGCTCAATCAAAATTTTTAAGTAGGGATCCTGCTTAAAAATGTGACAAATCATGTCATCTTTCACTTGATATCTTAAGAGCAGATACTGTACCAGGTAAAATACGAAGATTTGTGAATTATTTCTTTATGAGCAAATTAGTTTTATTTGAAATTCAGTGAAAATACCTGGAATTCTTTAATTCTACTTCAATACACACAATTTGGTTTTCTTATTCCACAAACATTTGTAATTCACACACTTGTTTTTCATTTAAGTGACAAAAGTACATTTTTTAAATTATTATCTTAAGAAGAAAGGAAATTAGTTTTATGCCACATATTGCCACTAAATGACGGTAGGATTATTTATAGTATTTCTAAGTTCAGGAAATTATTTAACATTAAAAAAATATTCTCTAAGGTGTAAGCCAAATTCTCTGCAAATTAAACATTCAAGTGATAGAGTAAAAATAATAATTTGGAAAATGCTCAATTTATACATGAAAGAATGGACAGAGAATGTCTGTTAAGCTTTTTGATGGTTTCTCTTGCTGCTGAATAAGTTGTTAGATTTAGATAAAAACTTATTAGACACCAGAAGAAACTCTCCAAAAAGTTTAACAGACATTTCTTGTCAGTTTTATTTAAGAGAACACTGTGTGTGTGTGTGTGTGTGTGTGTGTGTGTGTGTGTGTGGAGATGCACAGTAGCATAATGGATAGCAAAGTTTGAATTTTAGTCAAGTTTGTTAAATTCACTAGTAAGTATCCTTGGGAAAGGTATGAATCCATCCCTTCCCCTCAATGGATGGATAGCAGGATAGACTGGACCCTATAACCTTGACAGCCAGACATAGAAAAGGACAACTCTGAATTCAGTCTCCATCAGGCTACCTTGCCCAAGACACACTACTGCTACAGGACACTGAGTTATGGCACTCATGATCGATATATAGGTTTCATTAAAAATGACAGACAAGGTACTGTGGCTAAGTTTTTTTTTTATTTGTGTTTTTCTAATTTTCTTATATATCTCAAGGAAAAACACGATTATAAATTATAATTTATTTCAACAGGTAAGTTTTTAATACCCGTCTCATCAGAACAAAATTACTGTTAATTAAAAACTTACCTGTTGAAATAAATTACAATTTATAACCATGTTTTCGATGATGCATTACATTTTTTTTCCTTTATGTATATCATATTGCTCTGTATACTATACATTGAGCTCTCTTTATGGCTATATCTTTTAAAATATTTTATATTAAAAGACCTACTTGGATTATCCTTTCCACTTACAAATTTGATATTATATACCACATTCAGAATACATTTACTCATGAAATCTTGTAAACTACTTTACAATAAATTCAATAAATGCATAATATATTACTCAAAAATTGAAAAATGTCAAAAAAAAAAAAAAAAAAAAAAAACACAAAATACAAATAGATACTTAAAACATTACAATAAAATTTTCAATATATAATCTGAAGGAACATTCCATGTTACGTCAATTCTTCAAATTGACCCCACCCCCACATACACAAAATTTATCCATATTTTTTCAGTAGCTGGATACATTAAACAGAAAAGTAAATTCAAAATTATAGCTTGTCAAAAATTTTAAATTTTGGCAGTTTAGGCAAAATAATATGCAGAAATATTAAATGTCCATTATTGCAGACTTTACTAAACTTAATTGCAAAAGCAAGGTTTCAAATTGGGTGAAACCATGGTCTTAAAGTTTTAGAACCTAAGGAATAAAAAGAATCTCTAAAGCTAGGGAAGTAGGATTTTTTTTAGGTTACCTTTTACAAAAGGAAAAAAAAAAAACTCAAGTTTTTTTTGAACATCCACAACTATGATAGTAAAATAAAATAAAATTGCTGATACATTCACAGCTAAATCATGCTGCAAAAACCACATTTTGGTAAGCTTTCAATGTTTATCTGCATAGAGCAATTTATATTTCTTGAAATTTACCAGAGCAGGATGTACTATACACTGATCCTTTCTCTAATGAACTTTGCATTTTTTTCTTGAACCACATAATGGTAACTCTCAGCAAAATCTAAGAGAATCATACAGGAACATCATCCAACTCTTCTTCAAATACTTTGATTTCCGACAATGAATGTGCAGGAGATTAAATTGTCAATTTTGTTCACAAGGGTTTGACTGAATTCCTCTATACTTACAGAGTGTTTTCAATATCGTTTGATTCATGTTGTTCCAATGATTGTACATGATTTCATCATCATAATCTACAAATATTTCCCCCAGATATGAGTAATGCTTGGACTCCAGGGCATCTGTGCACCATGCACTCTAGGTTTTCTACATCACACACAACAATTTTCATCAAATGTTTATCTTCATAGAACTGCAGTTTTTTCATTCTCATTATTCTTCAGTGAATTGTTGACTGCAGTAATGAAGGTATCAACCATCAATTTTGTGTTCTGATGTATCACACAAACAAATAGAAAGAATTGAGATCCCAAAGAAGACATTGTAATACACTATTTTGAATGAAGACTACAAAATTTTGACAAACCATTCATCAATGTATTGTACATTGCTGACACTTCTGGTTTGGTGCTTCTATTATATATTTAGAGATTCTTGATAAAATTTCCTTTTTAGTATCTAAACTTTATAAATTTAAGCGCAGTACTAGATTGGCAGCTAGGTTTCATCATTTTACAATTGAAATGGCTAGATGTAACTAAGTTCTATACTAACAGTTTCTTCTCTCACACTTAAAAAGCTTGTGAAACTCTTATGACTTTTTAAGTTCTTTAAAAGCTGCATTCAACTCATCCAAGTTGCACAATATTAGACACTTCTGCTTATGAACCTTATTATAAAGAGCAAGAGGAGTTATTTGACTGCTTCAGGAAGTATTTCACTCTTTTTTATTTGGAAGCACTCAAACCACTTTGTACTTTAGAAGTTCTGACCATATGACCAGAAACACCAAAAAATCCAGAAATCTGTACTCTTGACTAACTGAATGGAGAAATGGTTAAAATCTGTATTTTCTTACACCTTAGTACATTTTTATCCAGTAATTTTTCTATCATGAGGCACAGCAGTTTATTAGAATTCTTTGCTTTGAGCCATACAATATTGGTTGATAGTTCATTCTCATTAACATCCAAGATGTGTGCGACTATTTCTTTTTACAGTTCACAACTCCATTCTATTTTTTCTTTTGCTTGAAGCTTTTGAAAGAGCATGAGTTTTAACTGGAGAAATACCAGTTAGTCCAACACTTTCATTTAACATGTTTCTATCAGTGCTAATCTTCACAAAAAAATCATCCTAGATATGGTCACCAAATTCATCAGGTATATCATCTTCCTAGTGTACTTCAAAGTATGAAAGTTGATAAATGACACCAGATAGTACCAGGATACTTCATAAAAATATGTTCCCAAAATAAAGACAATCATGAGGCTATACTCCTGACCACTTAGCAGTGAACCCCCAAGTGAACTAACTGATTTTAATTTCCACATACAAAACTGAATCATCATGAAATAATTTTACAATTAGAATCCAAGTATTAAATAAATTAATTTTGGGAAAACACATCCCGTTTTGTGTTTTTATATATCAAGTTATGCAATCTCAAAGATTTTTTATATCATTAAAAGTTGTATATATATATATATATATATATATATATATATATATAACTATACTCGTTTCAAAAAACCTTTGAATTTTTGATTTGCCAATAATCAAATCAATCTTGAGGGAAAAAAAGGTTTTAAAAAAAAGAAAGAGCTACAAACATGAAAGTCTGTTGAAAAAAAAAAAAAATATCGCACAGATACAGGTTTGAAGCCCAAAAAAAAAACCCCGAATGAGTAAACAACTAACAAAAGAGCTCAATACAACCGTAGCAGACCTAGATAGTTCTAGTGAGCCAGATAAACCTACCTAGGTAGGTTTGTCTATTCACTAGGTTTATATATATATATATATATATAAAAAAAAAGAAAGAGGTTGTAGTGGTTCCAACAAGAGAAAAGTATGTATATTAAAAAGAAGAGAAGAGAAGAGA